GCCAAGCACTTAAACTTTGCACCACCAGGACTTGCTCCTTAGTAGAGGAAGAGACCCCCCATAAACAAGAAGAAAAGATTCTGCAGCAGATTAGGTGCTGGGGAGAGTGGAGGAAGGAAAGGAAACGGCAGGAGGGAGACCAGGACTATTGGTGACTATTGGTTAAAATACTCACGGAGAGTCTTGTTGAGATGACTTTCCAACAAACCGGAAGGAGAGGGAGAGAGGGGTGGGTATGGGGACTGAGACCATTCCAGCGGGGAACCACAGCCAGTGTGCAGGGAGTAGCCTCTGCATAGTGGGCGGGACCTCAGTGCAGAGGGAGGAGCTTCCCTTGGGGAAGGGAGAGGAGCTTTACGGAAGTGGGAGGGGCCTCTGCTCAGGGGCGGGATATCACTGCAGTGGGTGGGGCCTTGGTTCCAGGGGAGGAGCTTCAGTGAAGTAGAAGGGTCCTCCTTGCCGAAGAAGTGGCTTTAGGAAGCGGGAGAGAAATCCATTAGAGGGCGGGATTTCTGTAGGGGGAGGGGCCTCAGTGCAGTGGGGAGAGCGTCAGTACCATGGGAGGAGCTTCAGAGCAGTTGGGGAACTTTCATGCAGAGAGGGAGTCATTTCAGTAGGGGGTGTAGAGGGGAGAAAGGCTTTCATCACGGAAGGAGCCTCAGTGCAATGGATGGGGTCTCTGGGATAGGGGGAGAAACCTCAGTGCAGAGGGAGGAGCTTCAGTGCCATGGGTGGAGCCTTGGTATAGGGGGCGGGGTCTCCTGTAGAGGGAGGAGCTTCTGTGCAGTCGAGGGGCTTTTATGCAGAAGGAAAAGCTTTATTGCTCTGCTGAGTCTGGAAGGGAAGTGTCAGTTGTTGGAGCAGCCAGAGGCTGTGGGGAGGCTACTGAGGGCCCTTGTAGATCATTGGTTCTTCAGCGTTGACTCAGAGTGCAGTGGGAGTCATTGCAGGATTTTGAGCAAAGGCACTGAGTCCTCCTGTCTGTTTAGCCTCCGTCCTCCTGTCTGAAATGGGAACACTACTACTGATGCTTGTCTCATGGGTTTGTGGTGACGTGTAAATGAGACAAGCCACACATGGCACCCCACACAATTCATGTTTGTTAGTTGGTGTTCAGTCCGTGTTGGTGGTTGGCCTGGGGACTAACCCAGACCTGGGATCAGGTCGTGGAGGGTGGTGGGTGGCTGGAGAAAGCAGTTTTCAGTAGAAGGTGGAGTGGGAGGGTCTCCCTTTGTCTTAGAAGCAGAGATGTTAGAAAACAGCATATTGCATGGGAGAAGCTTCCAGTAAGGAGCCCTAGTGGGCAAGGGTTAAATGCCTGCCTGTTAACTTTAAGGTTGGGGGTTCAAACCGACCTGGTGGTTCCACAGGAAAAAGATGCAGAAGTCTTCCTCCTTTTGTATCAGTCAATTAAACTCTGTGGGCAGTTCTACTCTTTCACACAGAACCTAAAAACATATTCTAATGTCCCTTGTGACTCTCTTATGAGTCCAAATCGACTAGACAGCCCCTAACAGTAACAACCTTCAGATAGGGTCTCTGGGTGGCATAGGAGGTTCAACATCTGTCCACTACCTGACTATCTGGCAGGTCTGACCTGGGAGGAAAGACCTAGTGATCTACTTCCAAAAAGTCACAACCTAGCAAACACTAGGGAGCACAGTTCTTACCTGACACATTGGGTCAACATAAGTCTGAATCAGCTTGACGTCAATTCACAACACGCTTCAGATCCCAGCCCTGTGTGACTTTGGGAGATTCATGGAGCTCTCTGACCCTCTGTCTCCTCCTTTATAAAATGGAACCCGTCGTTCTGATCATCCTCTGGGCTGTCTTGGAGGAGCTATCGCATCAACACATGAAAAGATTCCGAAGACTTAGGTGGCCATAGGCTGAGTGTTAGATGTGTGATCTTGATGTTAACAGACTAGAGTTTCAGCACAGGGCAGATTTGTAGTAGTGCAATATGACCCACAGGGCCTGGTATCAGAAAGATCTAGAGTAAAACACCAGCTTTCCCTTTATTGGCTGTGTGACCTCGGGGAAAAGATCCCCCCCCCAGTGCCTCAATTTCCCCAAATAAACAACTGGGGCCAACAACGGTACTTACCTCTCAGGGTTATTGTGAGGAATCTGTGAGGTGGCACAAACTCTTGAAACAGTAAACTTGAACAGTTGGGCTCATTACTGCAGCTGCTTAAGCATGCCGGCCTTCTGGGACAGCCTCATCTCGCATAAACCCTCGCCATGACCCATCTCCTGCAAATGACACCACTTCCTGGCTTCAGTCCCCACAAGAGAGAAATATCTCTTCTGTCCTGGCAGAAGTAGCCATTAGCCTCACCAGTCTGTTCCCCGTTAATTCTCCCTACTCCTCTCATAGTGGTACTCTTCAGCATCTGGCCATTCGGCCCCCAGAACCCCTTGTCCTGGGCCCCACCCCTAGTATCAGTTCATCTCTCAAATTTCCCCTGCTTTCAGGGAGTTGTGTTCAACCTAGCCTCACCTCTCCATTCATTCGGCAAATATATATCAAGACACACATCATGGCTATAAATTTTCCTCAGAGCACTGCCTTAGCTGCACCTCATGAGTTTTGTTGTCTTTCCTGTTGTATTAGTCTGAAAGCATATTTTAATGTCCCTTGTGACTTCTTGTCTGGCCCACTGGAGACTTGGGAGTATGTTGGTTTATTTATTTGGGTATATTTTTTAGGTAGCAATTTTTCTATTGTTAAATATATATATATATAACATTAGCCAATTCACCGTTTTTTAGGTGTTTAGCAGTATTGATGACATGAATTGTGTTGGCAGTCATCACCATATCATCATTGCCAGATTTCCAGGGAGTGTGTTACTAATTTCGACATTTCATCAGCATTTATGGAACACCCACAGTGTGCCAGGCACTGCCCTAGGTGCTGAGCGCAGCAGTTAACAAGACAGGCTGAGGGGCACAGAACAGTATACAAACGCAAAGAAAACATCAGTACCGATAGGAGAGGTGAAACAGTGTCGAAGGCGGAAGCGGTGCACTTTTAGCTAGGGCGTTAGCTCTCTTGGAGCTGCGTCTGAACAGGTAACATCTCACCTCAAGAAGGTGAGAGAGGGAATCTCATGGAAGTCTAGAGAAGAATGTTCTAGATAGAAGAATCTCACCACATTTGTGATCTGTCCAAGACCAACCAAGTCCCCACAAACTAGGCCCTTATGTAAATGTTCCTCATAACCCAGAAAGCACCCCCAAAGGCTCCTGTCCAAATAGTTAAAGCGCTCTGGTGGTGGTAATGGCTGTATGCCTAGCTGATAACCGAAGGGTGGGCATTTAGAATCCTCCCATGGAAGACAGACCTGACAATTTGCTTCTGTAAAGATGACAGCCTAGGGAACCGTATGGGACAGTTCTGTTCTTTCACATGGGGTTGCTGTGAGTCAGAATTGACTTGATGGCACTCAACAACTCCCCCCTCCTCCATAGTTTCACCACCAGGTAAGAACCCAGCCCCTGGCGTTATCAGCCAGGGTTCTGCAGAGACACAGAACCAATCAGGAGACTAGATAGAGATTCCCTGTAAGGAATTGACTCATGGAATTATGGGGACTGGTAAGGAACTCTGGTGCCACAGTGGGTTAAGCATTGGGCCGCTAACCAAAAGTTCAACAGTTCTTACCCGCCAGCTGTTAGCGGGAGAAAGATGAGGCTTTCTGCTTCCATACAGATTTGCAGCCTCGGAACCTCTGTAAAGATTAGAGCCTTGGAAACCCTCTGGGGTGGTTCTACACTGTCCTACAGGGTTGCTCTTTGTTGGGATCAATTCTACAGCAGCGGGTGGCGTTGCTGTAATGGAGGCAAGCCAGGAAGTAAGTTCTTTCCCCAAATGCCTTTCCTTCTACCCCCCCATCCCTACCCTACTTCTCACATCCTCAGGCTGTTGGGTACCCCCTAACCCCCCGCCCCAGCTGCCTCCAGTCGTCTGGTTCCCTCCTGGGCTGAGCCTTTGCCCTTCTGGGAGATCTGATTTAATTGCGGGGCTGTGAAGGGCATAGGCTCTTGAGTCTAGTCCAAGGGCCAGGACACCCCGAACTGGAGCCTAAAAATATCCCGCTCTGGGTGGGGGTGGGTAAGACAGTCACCTTTCACCTCTGAGGGGTAGAGAAATCCTGTGCAGACTGGCCCCCTATCCCCTGCTGTGGGCTAAGCACAGAATTGGGCACCCCCACCTCATGGGCCCTTCTGCCCCGTTTCCCCAGGTCCCCCATGGGTGTGAGGACTTGGGGACTCATGGCAGGAGTTAGATCCAGTCGGGGTGAACACACGTGGAGCCTCGCAACCTGAACACCGAGTCCCGTAAATGGAGCAGCCCAGGGTTGCCACAAACCTTCAATTGGTAAAACCCCAATGTCTACGACAGGCGGTAAAGGGAAGCATAATCAAATGAGATGTATCAGCTTATCTTCTGTCATTGGGTCCCAAACCCATGGCTTCTGGGTCTACTCCCACTCATGGGGAAAACCCATGTGTGCAGAACAGAACTGATTCATAGGATTTTCTAGGCTGTGGCCTTTACTTTCGAGATGCCTCTGGGTGGGTCCAGACCACCAACCTTTGCATTAGTAGTGGAGAGCTTAGCCTTTTGGGGCCACCCAAGGACAGGGAAACCACTATGATAGGAACATAGTGTTTCCATTTTTACAGAGGCAAAACCTGAGGGAAGGGTGGGAATTGGGAAGGGGGGGCACTTGAGCGGTATTGCAGACCAAGAGCACTGGGACTGAGGAGATGAAGTAGAGATCTTGAGAGGGGCATTGAGGGCAGGAGACCTAGGAAATGGACAGCTGAGGTATCTCAGGGTCCCCAAGCAACAGGGAGAGGAAAGGCAGGGAAAGAAGAGGGACAGGAAGTGAGGGAGTTGTGGGCTGGGGACACCCGTGTTTGCTTCCACTTCCTCAGAGGCGCCCTCTTCTTCACAGGGCCTCCCAACTACCATCCGACCCGTGATGGAGGCAAACCCAGTGGGCAGTGGCGCCGGGGGCGGTGGCAGCAGCGGCCTGGGAGGCGAGGATGGGGTCCACTTCCAGAGTTACCCCTTCGACTTCCTGGAATTCCTCAACCATCAGCGCTTTGAGCCCATGGAGCTCTATGGGGAGCATGGGAAGGCCATGGCTGCCCTGCCCTGTGCCCCGGGGCCCCCACCGCAGCCCCCTCCCCCACCGCCCACCCCCCAGTACGACTACCCTCCCCAGTCCACCTTCAAGCCCAAGGCCGAGGTACCTTCTTCCTCCTCTTCTTCGTCTTCCTCGTCCTCCTCCACCTCCTCGGGCCCTGCCTCACAAGCCAAGAAGCCAGACCCGCCCCTGCCCCCTGCCTTTGGGGCCCCCCCACCGCCCCTCTTCGATGCCGCCTTCCCCGCCCCACAGTGGGGCATCGTGGACCTCTCGGGACATCAGCACCTCTTTGGGAATCTGAAGCGAGGTGGTCCGGTATCCGGACCAGGGGTGACTCCGGGACTGGGCGTCCCGACGGGGGCCCCGGGCCCACTGCCTGCCCCTGCACAGACCCCACCGGGCCCCACGGCCGGAGTGGCCTGTGACCCCACCAAGGACGACAAGGGTTATTTCCGGAGGCTCAAGTACCTAATGGAGCGGCGCTTCCCCTGTGGCGTGTGTCAGAAGTCCTTCAAACAGTCGTCGCACCTGGTGCAGCACATGCTAGTACACTCAGGTGAGCGGCCGTACGAATGCGGAGTGTGTGGCCGTACCTACAATCACGTGTCCAGCCTCATCCGCCACCGCCGCTGCCACAAGGACCTGCCG